GAATTTTTGGAATTTTGAGAATTTGTAAATTTTTAGGAATTTTTGGAATTTTGAGAATTTGCAAATTTTTAGGAATTTTTGGAAGTATGAGAACTTGTAAATTTTGGGGAATTTTTGGAATTTTGAAAATTTGTAAATTTTGGAGAATTTCTGAAGTCATGAAAGTTTTGAAATTGTTGGAAATTTGTAAATTTTAGGAATTCTGAGAATTTTTTAATTTTGGGAGATTTTTGAAATCATGAAAATTGTAGAAATGTTGTAAATTTTAAGAATTTTGAGAATTTGTCGATTTTTGGGGTTTTTGAAATCGTGAAAATTTTTAAAATGTAAATTTTGTAAATTTCAGAAATTTTGAGAAGTCAATTTTGGGGAATTTTTAAAATCATGAAAACTCAGGAATTGTTGGAAATTTTATAAATTTTAGGAATTTTGAGAATTTGTCAATTTTGGGGAATTTTTTAAATCGTGAAAATTCTAGAAATGTTGGAAATTTTGTAAATTTTAGGAATTTTGAGAATTTGTCAATTTGGGGGAATTTTTTAAATTATGACAATTTAGGAAATGTAGGAAATTTTTGAATTTGAAAATTATAGAATTAAAAAATTTAAAACTGCTAAATTGAAAAATAAATTTATAAACTCAAAAATGTATAAATTTGAGAGTTTGAATATTTAAATACTCGCAAATCTGAAACTTAAAGATCCAGAAATTAGAAATATAAAAAATATATAAATTTACAAAATTTGTCCCATAAAAATAAAAATTTATTTTGTATCTCTAGCAACACATAGCCAGTGTATAAAGATAAGTAGGAGAATATCCAAGGCAGGATATACGTGTGGTAATTAATGCCGCTGCAGTGCTGCGGGCCAAGAAGCTGGGGACAGGTTGGTAGCGTGAGCCAAAACCAAATATTCCTAGAGTCTGTGTATCCGGTATCCAGGCTATCCGGGTATTAGTTCGACACGTACCAATTATAAGCTGGCAAACGAGTCATTTCTAACTTGTTCGCGACACGAATATCGCACGTCTCGATTTAAAGACGAGCTATAGAAACGATCACGTAGTATTTTTGACCATTTTTAAACTAGTCTGTTAAAATCGAGTTTACTAATTTTCATTTCTTTCTTTTTCGTGCGAGATGGCTGATGTCTTCGTTGGATTAAAAATAGCAATTGGTACTTCATATGTAATTTAAAAATGGCAATTGGTACTTCATATGTAATTTAAAAATGGCAATTGGTACTTCATAATGTAATTTAAAAATGTTAATGTTACTTCATATGTAATTTAAAAATGACAATTGGTACTTCATATGTAATTTAAAAATGGCAATTGGTACTTCATATGTAATTTAAAAATGGCAATTGGAAGTTCATATGTAATTTAAAAATGTTAGTGTTACTTCATATGTAATTTAAAAATGTTAATGTTACTTCATATGTAAATATAAACCTAACTTCAACATGTAAGGTAAGTGAAATATATGTCAAGTAATTATTTGACATATATTTTTATTATTAACTCCAATTAATTTGTTAACTATTTTATGTATTAAATTCTTTCAATAAAATATCGAATGTTTTCCTAGGAAAACAATTTTCAAATGCAACGTCGAGTAAAAACATAATATATTAATATATTATATGACGAACTCTTTCAGGTAAAATATGAATTGTATACAACTATATTATGCTTATGTTGGGATTTAGAAATGAATTCCACGACTCTGTTATTTAATTATAGTTTATTAACAATATGCACTGCACGCCCACTATTTGATTTTCAAACATACACTAACGCCGCGTACTGTCACTGGCGACCGACTCGCGCGCCGAGAATTACCGAAGTCTGCCGAACCGTTCCGATTGACACGGACCATGCCATCGGTAACGCGCAGTAGTGTTTTTTAACATTCCCGTTATTTTATTACATTATTTTATTATTAACTTACACTGCAATATTATTTTACTATTTAATTACATTTTCTCGTTATTTAATTACATTATAACATCATTTTATTATGCTATTATACTATAATATACATTTGCGTTTATATTTCATAAACTTCAAACTTTAATTCTATTTACTCCAAGAAGCAAATTTCAAGTCACAGTATCATTCCACGAACGTCCTGCAATTTCGAGTACATTCACTTTAAACTAAAAATTTTAACTGCATATCGTGCGTTACTCTTATTTCCTGCATCGCGTTATCGCAAAACTCCCTTTGACGGATTTCCTCAATCAGAAATCCCCATTTCCGGTGCATAAACCAAACAGTAATAACGTCGATAAAAAAGCGGTAACGAGTCGAAAGCAACGGTAAAGAAGGGTTGTAATACACGAAAGACATGTATATCCCTTAATTAGAAGATCGCAATTAATTGACGGTATATTATCGAGTAAGATACACGATCCCCTAATTATTTCCGGCGCTATACGAAACTCTTAAGGCAAAATAAGCTTATCTTGTCTCTACAGCTTAAGAAGGTATTTTCGAATGACGATCCATCCCGTCGATTAATCTGAATATCCAGCAGCTGCGTTCGCCTCTTGAGAGCTCTTCGATACAATGTGTTCCATTACGTTATATCGCATACGACACCACTTTGTCCTTCCATCAAACTCGATTCCCTCTATAATTCGAGCTTCTCTTTTTACCAAGGATCTTTTTGACCGTTGCAGCCTTTCATTGCGATAAAAAAAAGCTCTCTGTAATTACGAAACACGCGTCCCCTTTCTCTATATCAACACATTCCACGCTTCGCGTCGCCCTTTTTCTCATTATTTCGCGACTTCGGACAAAGATTTCAGAGCACCGTAAACTCTTGTCAAATGGTACTCGATCAAAATTGCTTTTACCGATACTGCCAATTGTTGCGTTATTCCTTTGATATTGTATTTATTGTACTTCTTTGTGGATGGGAGCGATACAGGGATTATAGGACTCTGGTATTTCCTCGCAGGGATGAAAGATGAAATAGGGTAGGGAAGTCAATAATTGGGAATTTTTCAAGAGTTTCGATACTTGACAATTTCGATATTTCCAAATTACAAATTCTATTTGTTTGTGACAACTTTAAAATCCGTGCATCTCTTATTCCACCTATTATGTTTACGGTGGGTCGAAATAAATATTCGAATTCTCAGGCACCTGGTGCATCAACTCTTCTATATCATTAACTTCCCTTAATAATTTCCCTTTGAAAAATCATTCATTTGGTACGCAAGATGATAGTTTAATTCGTCTTTGCAACGTTGCCGCCATTGTCTTCATTGTGTCGATGCAATGCGAACGAAGCAAGACGAAAACGAGGGCTTAGGTAAGATTGGCGAAACAACGGGACCAAATGAACTCAATTAAATATTGAATACGTGTAATCGTCGAGGTTCGTTTCGCATTGTAACGTGACGCCGTCCCGTTTTACGTTTGCAGCCGAGTTAGTCACTAGGTTATTAAGTTATTATAATGCTGCTTGGGCGAATGGGGGACAAAGCAAACCGGGGAATCAGCATGAAATATCCATATCGGAACCATGATAACTTCATCGGAGAGTTGTAATGTGCCTCTGACCCGAATCCTACTTTGATATCCAGAAATCGGCAGACTGTAGCGTAAATTAATCAGTGAACGTGCGATACGCGAACGTTTAGTAGTTCCAAAGTTGGAAATATGGGATTTATTGTGTTGTTTGATTCACGTGCATTTTCTCGATTTTCGTAAGATTAAATAATGTTTGCCTAGTTTGCTGATAAAATAAGAATGAAAAAAGAAACAGAATCGGGATTAGTTAATTACTTTATGTATATAAATCATTTAAATACAAATTAGAGATTGAAGTTATAATAATACATATAGAACGCAAATGTATTCGTTTATCGTCGAACAATACAACATTAGAAAATATAATCGATTTTTCGATGTAGTTTCTATTTCTTGCAAGAACGAGCAGATAGCTTCTAACTTCTACAACCGACAAGTTAATATTAGAAAATATAATCGATTTTTCGATGTAATTTCTATTTCTTGCAAGAGCGAGCAGATAGCTTCTAACTTCTACAACCGACAAGTTAATAATGAATATTCGGGCCTCGCCCAAGCAATGTTCGCAACACGCTCGGGCCTTTCTGACTTTTCCCGAATACTACCCTTATCTACCATAGCGACTTTACTCCTGGACCAGCCTAAAGGTCCCGGAGAACAACCAAGTGGTTCTCCGTCCACTGTCCCTCACTACCGGAGACGTTCGTCATCTCCCTCTCAGGGTCATACCACCCTCAGGGCGATGCATACAGCACCTCCCCTAGCCGTGGCTTAAACGGCCCCAGGTTCGCCGAAGCGCCCCTGTGCTCGCAAGGAGATCGCCAGCTAGGCATCGCTTCTCAGAAATTTACAAATGTTATCTCGCTCGCTCTTTCTTCGCTCTGCGCTACAAAACTTATCGCTGCCTTCGCAATGACAACACAATGGCACACAATTTACAACATAACGAATAACCATGGTTATTTTACATTCAGACATAACCCAAACTTATACAATTTTACTTAAATCTAAATAAAACAATTATTCTGGGAGTATTTAATAGTGACAAAAGTAACATTTTAAGTAATAAATGTTTACCTAGTTATGTAGTTAGAATTTAGTAACTAATTAAACTTGCTAATTGATTGACCCAGCGAATTGCTACGCAACTGACTGATTAACCTTGTCAGTAGTTAATAATTAACTACGTTAACTGACTGATGAACGTGGTCGGTAATTAGCAACTAAATAGATTTACTAATTGATTAATGCAATCGGTAGTTAATAATTAGCGGAAATTGCAAACTGACTTGTTGAATTAAATATTGGCTTATTGATATCCTAGTAAATTCATAATTAAACTTGCTGATTATAGCAATATAGTATGAAATAGATTATATTGTATGAAATATTGCATTGTAATATTTTCATGCAAAAGATATGTCTTTTATATTGAAAGTAATCAAAACACTCACCTATGTTGGGGGTAGATATGCTGAAAGGCAAGTTATTTTCTTGAACTCTTACCGTTTCGGGTTCTGAACTCTGAGCACATCTGGAACCAAAAAGGATGAAGGATAGTTAAGTGAAAATTTAATAGAAGGGTTGTAAATTTGATAATTCTTAAATCACCAAAATTACTTAATTGTCCAGTTCCCTAGTTTCCCAATTCCCTAATTTCCTAATTCCCTAATTTCCCAAATCCCTAATTTCCCAATTCTCTAATTTCCCAATTCCCTAATCACCAAAATTACTTAATTTCCAAATTCCCCAATTTCCAAATTCCCTAATTTCCCAATTCCTTAATTTCCCAATTTCCTAATTTCCCAATTTCCTAATTTCCCAAATCCCTAATATCCCAATTCTCTAATTTCCCAATTCCCTAATCACCAAAATTACTTAATTTCCAAATTCCCCAATTTCCAAATTCCCTAATTTCCCAATTCCTTAATTTCCCAATTTCCTAATTTCCCAATTTCCTAATTTCCCAAATCCCTAATATCCCAATTCTCTAATTTCCCAATTCCCTAATCACCAAAATTACTTAATTTCCAAATTCCCTAATTTCCCAATTCCCTAATTTCCCAATTCCCTAATTTCCTAATTCCTTAATTTCCCAAATCCCTAATTTCCCAATTCCCCAATCACCAAAATTACTTAATTTCCCAGTTCCCCAGTTTCCAAATTCCCTAGTTTCTCAATTCCCTAATTTCGCAATTCTAAATTTAAAAATTCCTGAACCTTTACCATATTAAATTTTGACGTTGCAAAATTTGAAGTATGGTTAAGACTTTAACACAGCATATAATTTATATCTCAATATAAACCCACACCAACACCACATAAAGCCACATATGAAATATCACACTTCTAACTTTCCAAAAACCCAATAAAATCCACTGTCAACTACACAAATAAACCACTACAACCCCAGATATCCAAACACACCCTCCACAATTGTTTCAAGGTGTATCAAAAGCACACAAAACAAAGGAATAATCCTCTTTCAGCATGAATTGTGCACCAATCGTAAAGCAAACACAAGAATCCAGGCACGAAGAAGAAACAGATAAAGAGTAAATTCTGGTCTAAACACATGTAGCAGGAGCTTTTTATTTGTCGGATCGATTTAAAGGGGACGAAGGTTCCAATTCGATCGGTTTTCACCGGTTAAATCCCTGTCGTGACGCTATTGAGAGTAGCTGGGATTCAGGGGCGGATTTCAATGGAGCCGCAACCCTCTGGTTCCCTCGGGGGTTGCATTTCGCGGATCCGTCTTAACGAAGCTTGCTGCTTTACTATGCACGTGCAGTTAGGCGTAAACCCATCCACCGAGAATCATTACCGCGGCGAAATAAAAAGCCGGCTTTTCAAGGACGCGTGGGAAATGCGGGATACGGTAGATTGATTCGAGATCTCTGGAGAAACGTTCGAACGGTTAGAAACGCTTTGAATGTCATTCTTGAGTAGCATACCTATTTGTTGGAAGTAACGGACAAAACAAATGAACTGCGCTATGCGCGTCCGAACACGCATCACGATGCTTTGTCCTACAGTTACAGTTTTACCTTCGTCTACGAAGCACCGCGCATTTTGTAAAGACATTTTTATATTATTAAAGTATTTTCCGTTCACCTCAGCACTGCAGTTTATTTTCCTGAAGCTAATCCTAACAGGTTATGGGCCCAGACACATTCTGGTCGCGTGTGGAAAATTAAACGAACATTTTTTAGTACGACGAATTTAATTCGCGATAGTGCAGTGAGTGTGAAAAGTTGTGAAAAGTTAAAGTTTTTGTCAAGATGAGTTCCTCAACTTCAGTGCGCATCGAACCACTCGGAAAAGACAATTACGACACGTGGAAAATTCAAGTGGAAGCTCTACTGATAAAAAACGACAACTGGAAGTACGTTAATGGCAATAAAATACGACCCGACGTAACTCAGGGCGAAGCGGCAACACAATGGGACGAAGCGGACGCAAAGGCAAGATCCGATTTGATATTAGCAATTAGCCCGTCCGAAATTAAACAAATTAAAAATTGCAAGACATCGAACGAGATCTGGAAGAAATTAGAAGGTATTTACCAGTCGAAAGGTCCGGCGCGAAAAGCGACGCTATTGAAGCAGCTTGCTTTGCGAAAAATGGCAGAAGGCGACGACGTGAGATCGCATATGAACTCTTTCTTTGACGCGGTCGACAAATTAGAAGACATGGAGGTTAAAATCAACCCGGATATGCTCGCCGTTCTTCTGCTGTACAGTTTACCCGGTTCGTTTGAAAATTTTCGGGTGGCCATCGAATCCCGAGATGAATATCCGACGCCCGAAGCGCTTAAAATAAAAATTTTAGAAGAGAGCGCTGCGCGAACCGATAAAGCAAAAGAGTCGAGTGATAGCGCGATGTGGGTAAGAAAATTGACCAAGCCGGACAGGTCAAACACAGCGCAACGGAAGCG